GTGTGGAACACGGTTCTGTTCTTGCCGCTGTCAAGTCATACACAATGATACGCGCTGCCTGAAATTTGTGGCTTGATCGGCTGGATATGTACAAGCTACGATTGATGTATGTCCACTCCCTAATGATTGTTCATATGTGCTTTGATCAGTAGGATATACTTGCTGACTATGTATCCTACTATGTAGGTAGGGGTAGGTAAGTGGTAAAAAACCATTTTCTCAGTAGTGTATCCAACCACTCTTTTTTTTCAGAAATATTATGTGAGTTTACAGTTATGCAGTAGAGCTGAAAGTAGCTCTTGGTTTCATTATATCGGAATAGTAATTTGACAATGTTTCTTGATTGAATCAAATGTAGGAGACTGTACTCTGGTATTAGATATGAACTGGTATGTAAATATCACAATTAACCAGCTTATGGTCAACAAATTTCAATGAAATATCACTGCAAATGCTATGATAATACTCGGACCTTTTAGCAGTAGCAGGTCTGAATAGCACATGATATAATCTGTATAATATAATATTGAAATAATACTATATTATATATTTCATTTTGAGGGTTGATACATACTGTGGCCCTGTTTGGATGGGCTTCAAAAGCTGCTAGATGCTTAAAAAGCCAAATATGAGCACATCTTAATATCATTCAGCAGGTAATATACTAAATCAGATACAGATAACTTACTGCTACAACTGGAAGCACTTATATGTCCTCAATGCTAGATATTACAAATTGTCCTTGTTCGTTGCATAGTAGTAAGGCAACAACATCATGGGATTTCACAAATACTACAAGTATATTGAAATGCAGCCACAGAGGATTACCAACACTAAACAAGAGCACATTGTAGATGTCTATCACCAAGTGGCACAGCCATGTCACCTCCCTTTGGAAAGATCAGTTATAGTGGTCATTGGACATGACATGGCAACCTGTGCTTTTCGTCCTGATGACAATCCTGCTGACCCAGATCACTACTCAGTAAAGTATCAGGCTGCAAGTCTGCTAGGAGCGATGCATCTCTCTCTAGGAACTGCATGACAAGGCGCATGCGAGGCCTAGCATTAGGCGAGGGGTGTGAGCAGAGCAAACCAAGCTTCAGTACCAGCTCCATCTCTTCCTCCACGTGACCATCCAGTCTTGGGTCGGTGGCTCCAGTGATAGAACCACCTCGCCATGCAGCAAGCACCCAGTATGCCAGAGCGAGAGGTTCTCCATTGTCTGTGTTCACCCAGATTGGTCGTCTTCCGCAGGCAACCTCCATCATCAGCTCGCCGAAGGCAAACACGTCAGTTGCTTTGGTTGCCTTGCCAAGCCTAGCCAGCTCAGGGGCAATATAACCCCAGGTACCTGCCACACGTGTGGTGTGAGCATCAGCTCCATGATCATGTGACCTTGCGAGGCTGAAATCGCCCCAGTCTCGCATTCATCTCGTTGTCGAGAAGGACATTGCTGGGCTTGATGTCTCTGTGGATGACAACCTGCTCACACTCCTCATGTAGGTAGAAGATACCAGATGCCACACATTTGAGGATGTGGAACCTTTGAGCCCAACACAGATTGGTGGTGTTCTGATCCTGAGTATGTAAGTGGAAATCAAGGCTTCCATTGGGCATGCAGTCGTACACCAAAAGGAGCTGTTGCTTGTGCCGACAGTACCCAAGCAGGTGAACAAGATTTCGGTGACGGAAAGACGACCAAGAATGATGATCTCGGCCATAAACTCCTTCATCCCTTGCTTGGACTCTGGTGATATGTGCTTAATGGCAACTGTTTTCTTGGAACGGGGAAGCAGTCCTTTGAAGACACTCCCAAAGCCTCCTTCACCCAGAAGCATCTTATCCTTGAATCCACCAGTGGCAGCACATAGATCTTTGTAGGTGAAGGATGGAGGTCCATACTCCCTCTCCCACTCTATTTCATTTCTTCTTGCTTCTAACCGCCTCTTCCTATGGATCTTGAAAAGAGTAGTAGAAACCACTATGGTGACTCCAAGAGTTGGTACAAGGGCTGCACATAATGATACTATTGTCCTGTTGCCGCGTGTGCTTGGGCGGGCTCCAATTTGTTCTGCAAGATCTTGGATAGTCTCCAAAGATAGCGCTGAGTGGTTTAGCGCTGCAGCTGCTCCATTCAGCTTGAAGCTCAAACCCAAAATGTAATGCCTGCTACGAAGTGTGCCAGTCGCCGAGGAAAATCCAGCAAACACTGGCGTGGTTGGCAAAATTGTTGATAAATCATATACCTTTGTTAGCAGTGGCCTGCTGGGTTTGAACTGATCGAAAGGCACTATTGTGACATTCAGCATGGTCTGCTTGCTGTCGTAGTCCACCCACACCTGCATCGGATGTCCACTGATGAGGCTCAAGTTACGAAAGTCACCACCATTGTCATAGTAACCTGCGGTACTGGAGGCAACTGAAATCAGGCTGTTTACGTCAATCCCTATGTGGTTACTGTCAATGTCATTGAACTCCTTATTCATAACAGTATCAAGCTCGATAGCAAGGAGATGATTCATTGCGTTGCCATCATTCGTGGAATTGAGAAGGCCAAGATACTGGGAACCCAAGGCGTCAGAGAAATCTTTGGTGGAACGAAGCACAAATGCAAGACCTGGGCTACTCAAGTCAGTGTAAGGCCCCATGATTGAGAAGATAAATGTTGTGGAGAAAGATGCCAGTGAGGAGCCATTTGAAACATCTGTGAAATTGAGAGGGTAGGGGTAGAAACCGTGACCTTTAACTTGGGGAAACCCGCTGGTTAGGCTTAAAAGGCCGTTGGAGATTAGAGCTTCACCATCAACGGTCAGATTGCTACCAGAGAAACCATCGTAGATGAACTCGCCGTGATCAACAGCAGCAGCGTCTCCAGCCTCAGCAGAGACAGATAGGAGGAGAAGCACGAGGATGAGGAGGTGCAGAAACTGAAGGAAGCAGGGAAGATGCATGCCCAGTGCTAGACGAGGCAAGGCTGCTGCTTCTTGCTCCTGCATGATATAGATAGATAGACGGGGATTTATCGAATCACACGTACTAGGGAACAATGAGACTCAGAGAACTCGGTTTGGCTTTATCAAGTATCAACGATCCATTGAACTCGGTTCAATACTCTACTAGGAGTAGTAGTAGGGGAGGTGGGGGAGACCTGCAACCAGGTCAAGCTGTAGTCAGTTTATTCCAACACAGGCCGGATGACCGCTACGGTTGCCGATTTCGCCCGAAACAAGAATAGTCCCTGTACAAGTGGGCCAAACGGTATTTCCACGCTTAGTCAAAAGACGAAACGCGTCGTGTGCAGGCACCACTGTACACCAACGTAAAACTTACACCACATACTTGTTTTTCAATATCAGAGCCGATGCTTGTCGCAATAATACTAGCATTGATTATGGAGACTTTGTTTAACGTCTTTTAGTTAATATACGCATTACAAACAAATATGCTAGTCTCATGTGTCTTCTCCCGACAAGTGTGGTTCAGGTTGCTTGACAGAGTTGATCTGCAGCACCTTGCTCCCCAGACCAATAATTTTTCTTTTGATGATTGGTGGGACAGCACCAATATTGGATTGGATGATCATGCACGGAAAGGACTTAACTCTATAATCATTTTGGGAGCTTGGTCCCTGTGGAATCACCGTAACCGTTGTGTGTTCGATGGGATCCATCCTAACCTGGAAGGTGTGTTGACAATAGCAAGAGAAGAGCTACATCTTTGGAGTCTGGCCGGAGCTCGAGGAGTATCGCAGCTCCTTGCTCCCGGGCATGCCAATGAATGAGTTTTGGGATACTGGTCATGGGTCAAGTCCATAATAGGCGTGTGTGTGTGTGGTTCTGTAACCGGGGTTTCTAAAACCCCTCCTTTGTTCTTCTTAATATATTGATACGCAGTTCTCCTGCGTGTTCGAGAAAAAAAAACAAACAAATATGCTATAGAAATCTGTTAGGTGTACTTAAACAAAATTGTCAACAATAACCTTTATTTTGCGAAACATAATAATCTACCAAATTGGTGCCCATACCTTTCTAATTTCTCATTTTTGTGAGAAGTTATATAATTTACCTTTTTTTCTAGCGACTCATGAGGATTAATTTGCAGGCTCCATAGGGGACCTCATGTTCATGTATTGCAATGGGATATATAGCTTTTGTTGCACGGTCACCTAACTGAAATGCGACTCAGAGCATCATGCATTCCAATTTATCTTGGGATTGGACTCTATATCATGCCTAGATGTATGCTTCTCTAACTCGTATGGACACCTGAGGCTAAGAGATTTTATCCAACAATCTTGTTGTGCAGTACAATTTGTTTTAGGATTGATTTTTGCACTGTACCTAGACACACTGCTCTAACTCATACAGGCATGTGAGAAAGTGATGAAACACTATGTATCCCAAACTCCGCATATATTGGACACACTGCTCTAGATTTGATAGGCACAGAAACACTCCTTACTTTAACATTACATATAAATTAAGATGTTTGTTGTGATCCTTTGTATTGCACTATTGCAGGGCTTCAGTATTTATTGAATTGAAATCTAAGGTCAAATTATATAAACTCTCATTGCATCAGCTTTGTATGACATCATGAATTTCATATTTAGCTTTTAACTATTAAACTTTTTAGTTGTTGCAATTTTTGTATCTACTTGTTAAATTAAAACTCTAGTGTTTATTGTAACTTTTGTTCAAAATTTTACTTCTATGTTTATTAAAAATATTCTAGACCATAAATACTCCAAATGAATTGAAACGCTACCACAGAGGAGAACCAACACTAAGCAAGAGCATATATTCTGATGAATAATCTCAAATAAAAAATGTTATGGTTGCTTGCAGTCAACATCATAGGATTTGGTACATACTCTAAATTATTTGAAATTCCGTACAGCAGCACATCACATGAGCAGTATCAACACTAAGCAAGAGCGCATTATGGATGAATAGATGATTCGAAAGAACAGAACAGAGAGATACAAATAAGGGAGATCACTGGGCAGCTTCAGGCCTTGTCGCTGACGTCGATTTGGTGTAATCCTTCTTTACTTTCTTGAGTGCCACTACAACATCGCTCATCGATAATCTTTGGTGAGGTGCATCACTTGAGCAGAGCAAACCCAACTCAAATATTCGTGGCAGGAAGGGCTTCAGAATGCAGTCAGCAGAGGAAGGACCTTGCAGGAGCTTATCGTCCAGAACATGGTCAATCTGTGATGGGAATGCTTGATAAACCCACTGCCTGATACTTAGATCTCCTATGAACATGGGATCGGTGGGTCTCTTTCCGGTGAATACTTCAAGAAGCATGATTCCAAAGCTGAACACATCGCTCTTGCGGGATGCCTTCCCAAAGGATCCATACTCTGCTCAACAATTCAGAAAATCAAATATTAGAACAGTTGATTAATCAAAGGAACTACAATGATGATATACACCACTCACGGGTATAGCTATAGTATACAAGCTAGCCATAGTACCTGGTGCCATGTACCCAAGTGTTCGAGGCATACTAGCAGTGATCATGGAGCTGTCGCCACCCAATAGCAATTTTGCGATGCCAAAGTCTGCCACATGTGCTGTCATGTCGTTGTCAAATAACACGTTGCTAGGCTTCAAGTCACAGTGCAGGACAACCTGAAAATGCTGATGGTGCAGGTACTCCATCGCCATTGACACATCTAGCATGATCTCCAGCCTCTTAAGAAATCCCAAGCTATTTGTGCCTTGAGAGTGCAGGAGCTTATCTAAGCTGCCGTTGGGCATGTAGTGGAGCACGAGTGCTCTGAAATCCAGGTTGGAGCATGTGCTTAGTATCCTTATCAGGTTGCGGTGCCGAGCCATGCAAAGCACATGGCACTCAGCATCAAAGCTTCTAATGGCCTGTTCTAGTCGCATATCTAGAACTTTTATTGCAACAACCAAACCGTTACTCAATTTGCCTTTGAAAACTTTTGCAAAACTTCCAGTTCCCAGAAGGTTGTTATCACTAAAGTTATCAGTGGCCAAAATGAGCTCACGGTAGGAGAACAATCTCTGTCCTACAGAATTTGCTGGATCAGTGACAGAAGTTTCATCATCACCCTTGGCCTTAGTTTTCCTTCTGATCCTTAGGTAGAGACAAACAAGAATAGAGGCAAATGCAACAGTGACAACTGGAAGAAGAAAAATTAGTAGGTCCCTTTTATTCAAGTGAGAGTTCTCAAGACATGGAGAAAATCCAAGATGGGGAGACCCACATAGCCCAGCATTCCCAATCAAAGATTTTGACATGATGTTTGAAAAAACACCTCCCTCTGGTATTTTCCTTCTAGTTTATTGAAAGAGAGATTCAAGGCTGTCAAGTCTGTGAAATTAGCAAGGAACATGGGAATGGTACCAGAGATATTATTAAAGGAGAGATCCAAATATGCTAAGCTAGTAAGCTTTTGAAAAGAATCAGGGATTTGTCCATCAAATGAGTTATGTGATAGATTTAGGAAGTTGAGCATGATAATTTGTCCAAATGATTCTGGGATGGTTCCATGGAAAAAGTTGGTAGAAAGGTCAATGTCACTTGTTTTAGCCCATCAACTTCATTCGGTAGGGGACCAATAAAGAGATTGTTTGAAAGATCTAAAGCGATAAGTTTATCCAGGTGGAAGAAACTTGCTGGTACAGTAGAGTTTAACTTATTACTAGATATGCTAATATATTCTAGCCTACTAAGGTTTCCAATGTTTTTGGGTATACATCCAAAGAATTTGTTTCCTTGAAGATATAACCGTTCCAAGCTCCTAAGCATACAAATTTTTGCTGGTATAGGACCTGACAAGAAGTCGTTAGATAAGTCAAGCAAAATGAGATGTTGCATCGCAGTGACAAACTCAAGGATTTCCCCCATGAATAGGTTGCTAGAAAGATGTATACTTTCAAGATTGCTTAAGTTTGACGGTGTTGATGGAATCCTGCCTGTTAACTTGTTATTATGTGCAGCAAACCAAATTAACTCTGTTGACAGGTTTCCGGTATGATCTGGGAGCCCCCCTATGAAAGAATTATTAGACAGTTGAATGACCTGGAGTTCCCTACAGTTGGTAAGGGAGGACAAGAAGTTAAGATTCCCATCCAAATTATTCGATTCAAGTTGAAGCCAATTCAGACGTGGAATATTGTTCCCAAGTGTTGGTGGTACTGAGCCAGAGAATTGATTATCCTCCAGAATTAGCACAGTTAATTCCGAGAAATTTCCAAGAAAACTTGGAATCGGACCTGTTAGCTGATTTATTCCCAGATCTAGTCCAGTAAGATGCGTGAGATTGCTAAGAGCAGCTGGGATAGCGCCAACAAGGTTATTTCCTCCCAAAGCAAGTATGGTCAGACGTTGAAGTTGAGCGAACCATGTTGGAAGGACATCCACAAAATAATTTACTTGCAGAGCGAGTGTGTCTAAGTATTTGCATGATCAGTCCAGATGGAATCGGACCCATAAAGTTGTTCCGTCCGATAGAGAACACCTGTAGCAGAGGAAGGCTAAAACTTTGATTGTTAGGAATTGGACCCGCAAAATTGTTGCGTGCGATAAAAAGCCACTGCATCCTTGACATGTTGAAGATGGTTGGAGGTATCGTACCGGATAAGGTTATTGAATTGCAGGTACAAGAGTTCCAACATGGACAAGGAACCGATGCCGTGTGGTACAGGACCTGATAAGCTATTGTTTTTCAAGCTGATGTGCCTCAGGGATTGCGTCTTATTGAATAGGTGTGGTGGTATATGGCCGGTTAACTCATTCCTAGCAAGATAAAACATCTCGAGGTTGGGGGTATTCTGCAGTAGTCCTTGCGGGATCTCCCCTGACAAGCTATTGTAACTTAAAGCAAGTTCCTCGAGTCTGGTTAGGTTTCCTATGGTACAAGGAATGTGGCCTGAGAAACCATTTCGACTAAGAGAGAGAACCTTAAGCCGACGTAGCATGCCAAGCTCGGCAGGGATAGAGCTAGCGAGGCTGGTGTTTGTGAGATCTTGGAAGGAAAGGAACGAAAGATTACCGAGGTGTGGGCTGAGCTCTCCTTGGAGCACAATATCTGGCAGCAACAAAGCCGTGACATGCTGCCAGTGGCGGCCACACGAGACTCCGCGCCATCGGCAGAAGGACACGTTGGTTGTCCAGCTGCTGGCAAGGACGCCGGTGGGATCAGCGAGCTGGCCTTTGAAAGCCAACAGTGCGGCAAGGTCGTTGCGGCTGCCGGACACATTGGTGGCACTCTGGATTGTTGTAGAAGAAGAGGTGGTACTAGACAAGAGAGCTGAGAGGACTAAGACGCCCAGTAATATTAGTGCCGTCATTGGATTGGAGTCTGCCTGCTCGATCGTGATGCATGCGTGTATATATGGGGGAGGATACTGGATACAACGACAGAGGCTACCAACCAATCCAGGAGAAACCAGATTTTGCGGTTTCGTTCGGCCACTGTGTCTGTGTGTGCGCCACACCTTTTCAAATCTTTTGATTTGATTTTGATTGATGATGATGCCTCATCTTTGCCTCGCCTCTCTACCACTACGCGCGCGGATATAGGACATGTTTGGATGCCGCCCTCGCCTGGGCTTGCCTGCCAGGCAAGCGATCGCAGCCCCAGGCGATCGAAATCGAACGCCTGGGGACGCTGCCTGCCGTCTGAGCTGCCTGGGAGGCAGCATCCAAACATGCCCATAATGCATGGGAGCCAGCCTGTTTCTGACTGCGACGGCTTCAGGTCAACTCCGAAGTCTTGAACTCTTGGATGCAGGCTAATAATATCTGTTCCTGTTCCCTGTGGAAAAAAACTGAACCTGACTTGATTCATCTGTTATTTCACAGTATATATATAGTGTTAGCACTGTTCCTGTTCCGACAACCGCTGTTGAAGCGCCAAGCTCTGTGCCAGGGACAAGCGGAAGGGAGCCGACACCCTGTTCGCCCTGGTGGCTTGGGAAGTGTGGAAGGAGAGGAACGCAAGATGTTTTCGCGACTCTACGTCCACCAACACAAGCCTTCTCGTCACCATCAAACGCACCGCTGATCAATTGATCAAAGCCGGAGCACTCAAGCTTAGTAGTTTGATGACAAACGACCATGATTTCATAATGGTACCTAGCAAATATTGAAGTTGGCGGTATGAAATAGCCAATTCTATTGATGTTTGATGTCCTGCAACGGACTTATAGAAAACACCTGAAGTTACTCTTATAAACAACATGATTTTTACTTGTTTGTTTATTTCAACAAGCATAATGGAAAGGTGCACCCCTAACTTGCTTGCAAAATGTATCTCAGTAACAGCCTGGTCAACAGCAACAATAACTCAACAATAACCAGTTGTGGCATTGACAATTTGATATGGACCAACTAATCAAGTAACTAACAATACTAGTGAATTAATCATGCTTTAATTTTATAAACAACTAAGTAGTAGCTCAACAAACACATATCGTTGACACAATAATACTTATACATATGTTTATATTCATATATACTAGATCATTTTACAAAAAAGTTGGGTTATTTCTAGAAAACCAGTAGCTAGTTTTGTCACAATAAAGTGGCACGGTTCAGGTACATGTGAAATGTAAAGGCGACATTCCAATATGACAAACAGTGGTGCAGTAGAACTAAAAAACGTGATCATTATTTTTTCACTTTTCCTAACATCAGGTGCCTGAAAATTTGAGTTTCATTAGGCGACGTGCTGGCCATGTGACACAGCGTATTTTTCCTCTTGTAATTTGTTTATAATTTGTTAATTATCTTTGTGTCACAATAAATTTTTTATCCTTGTCTGACTATAAAAAAATTATAAATTATTTATTATCTTTATGTCAACATATATTAGATTTTGTCAAGTTTGTGGTTTTGTCTATCTTTTTTTATTCTTGGATCTCAAAAATTGCAAATTATGCCTACAGAAATTGCAATTAACTAAAGCTATAATTTTAATATAAAATATATGCAATAATCGTCACATGAAAAGATGCTAAAATTCATACTCCCTTATTTTTTTTCAAGATAAACAGTGACAATTATAATAGAGTGGATCAAATGATTAGTCCTTATTATATTTTTCCAAAAAATAACAATCCTTATTATAATGCGTGCTTTCGGACTTTTGCCAGCTTCCCCATTACGTATGCAGCAGGGCCTCATCAGCATTTCTCCCTGTTGTCCATGTTCGATTGGTGGAAGTCTCTGCGCCCTCGCACAGCGCCTCTGCCAGCAGATCTAGTTCAAGGAAGCAGCGTGCGGTAGTCGAAGCAGTGGCGTTGTCGGCATCGTTGGCAGGCGTGCCCATACTGATGTCTGTCGCTGGCTTACCCCTACGGCGCCGGCGTCGTCTCCGGCTTCGACAGATGTCGTCGGCACCCCCCACAGCACCCTGGGCGGTCCCATCCGAGGTCGGTGGACTGTCGAGGTGTGCGTGCTGGGAAGCTGGTGGGTTGTCGGCATGAGCTGAGTGGCGAGGCAGGCCACACCGCTTACAGTCCCTGGCGAGGTGGCCCAATCTTCG